TCCCACATCTGAGGACTAGAGGGTTCAAGATTCTCAGCTGGCTAACACACGTATTCCTGTTGATGTCAGTTCTGTGCCCTGTCCTAGACTGTTCTGTTTGGAGATTCTATTCTTTCCCTGCCAGGTCCCCACTTTCTACATAAGAAATTTGCTCAACCTGTTCATTTCCTCTATAGTTCTCCTGTCTTTACAATCTATGATGCTGTGCAGTGTGACTTCCAGATACTGGGGTTGAAAAAAGTCTTTTTATTTGTCACATATTTCTGACTTTTTGGTAAAGCTTTAATTTATCAAAGAACATCAGTAGATTCTTGCTGTGTGTGTGTGTGTGTGTGTGTGTGTGTGTGTGTGAACAGTATCTGAACAGTACCATGCGATTTTTGTTTTCATCACTGCCAAGTCTATTAAGTATCACAGTTGTTCAGTCTTGTTCTGGTCTCATTAACTGCACGAAGATGCTCAGTCATGTCACGGTCTCCACTTACCACCAGAAATAGAGTTTTTTATTGCTTTCAGATTCTGGAAAATACAATTCCCAGAGGTACTCTGCCCTGTAAGACCTCTCTTGTTACCAAAGCCTTAAGTAATATCTTTCAGGACAAAGCCTGTGGTAGAGGTTAAATGGTGTGCTTTACTTAGGAAATACAATACAAGGGGGGAAAGAATGAATGAAAAGTGAGCTGAATTGAAGAAGAATGAGAAAAACTGCAGAATAATGTGTTAGTCAAATGCTCCCTCCCGCTTTATTGTAAGTCATGAAGAGACCTGTAGAAGGCCTTGATCATACATGTGTTGTCCATGTATACATTGTTTTGGGGGTGAGAACAACTAAGGTTGTGTTGACTGATGCATTGAATCAGTAACCACAGAAGGAAACAGAGGACATCGAGTACATGCTTTCTTCTTCCTTCTCCTCTGTCAAAGGATGTGGCACAGATGTTAATTTGATGTACCTCTGGATTATCTCCTTTTGATTCTGATGGGGGATTAGGTTTCTGTAAGACATGTTAAGAATTTTCATCTAAATGGAAAAGATAAGAGCTAGGAAAGGCTAGAAACTGAGCATAAAAGTAGTCTACCTGGGCTATGATTCCCCAGACTTGCATAGGGGCCTGTGGGACATGGAAACCTAATTCAGAGCTAATACCTGTAATTCTGGAAGACAGCCAAGGTGAGAGAATGAGAGAAGACATGTAGATATGTCCACTGCATGAGGTTTTATAAGCAAAAGACTGGGTTCATGTCTAGGGAACAGAAATGTGACAGGACCCACAGGTATTGAGGATTCATCCTGACTTAGCCTTATCAGAATTGGTTTATAATGCTACCCTACCAAGAATAGTAATGCGAACATAATTATTACATACTAGTCTAGTCTCCAATGTAAGACCTCTCCTGTTACAAAAGGTCTTAGGATAAAGACTTGCTTTGTTTATCAGCATTCAAAATGCATTGAGTGTTCTAGCCTTCCTATTTTTCATAACAGCCCACCAAGCTAAGCACCAGTCTATTTTCAGATTATGAAGTTGGAAAACAAAGCCTTGGCACTGCTTTCTGAATACCACACTGTAAAGTGGCAGAATCATGATTCACACCCATCATTCCCTGGCTTTAAAGCTCTCCTCTAAACTCAATGCAAATTGTTTTGCATATGGGAATAAAGTTCAGTAAACATCTCTAGATGTTCTCTTTATATGTTCCTCCAGGAGCTTTAACTGCCCATAAAATTTGAAATTCAACTTTGGATGCACAGAGATTTGACTGAAAAGCTATACTCAACAAAAGACACAAAAATGTTCCACACAGATCCAGCTCCGTCCATCTAAATGCTGTGTCTACTCTTTAGTACCCCCAGTATCTCATGGGTGTACATAACTAAGATTTGGATGTTAAGTAGTGCTTCCTTAATTTGGGATATTTCAGATTCTTAGTCGAGTCATATGCAGTGCTATGTTTTTGCACTTTTGTCCTTTTGAGGACCCAGTTCCCAGATAAATTTATTATTAGCACAGGGAGTTTAATTACTTTCGAATGCCGGTGCCTTAGCATGACTTGTTGATAGCAGCTTTTCTTAGCTTGAATGAACCCGTCTACCTTTTCTTTCTGGGCTTTTATCTTTCTTACTTCTGTATACCTTACTTTCACTCTTTCTCCGTGACTGGCTGGTGACTAGGTGGCCAAGTGGCTGGCCCCTGATGTCCCCCTTTCCTTGTTCTCTGGCTCTTTCCCATTTCTCCTTCTCTTTATATTTTCTGACAGCCCTGCCTATACTTACTCCTGCCTGGCTACTGGCTGTTCAGCTCTTATTGTTAGACCATCGGGTGTTTTAGACAGACAAAGGGTCACAGCTTCACAGAGTTAAACAAATGCAGCCTAAGCAAAAGTCACACATCTTAAAATGATATTCTACCGCAGTCATGATCGCTGCATTCTTTGTTGGAGTGATCAGGATCTGAGAGGAGAGGAAAGGCAGGCTGCTCCCTTGGCACAGGTAAGTTGCAGTGCAGTTTTCTACCTGAACATCTACCAACAACATTCTCTTTCTCTCAGTTACAATCCTGTGGTCATTGATCCCACTAATATCAGACTATATAACCCCCTATTTCCTAGGTCTCTTCTTCATCTTGGTAGACTACAATTTCCCTAAAGGTGAGGAGGAAGGATACCTTTTTGCTGTCATGTTTTCTGATAGGGTATGTTCTACAAAAGTCCCTGTTTTCCTTGTATGTCACAGGTTTATGCTCCATGCCAAAATAGGTTTTTCCCTTTTGAACAAATCTGTAGCAGTCTACCTCTTAACAGCTGAGAACTACAGCTGTTGGGGCCAGATTTCCATATCTAACCTGGTATTTCTTACCTAAATACTGCATATGGATAAAAATAGCAACTTTCAGTCTTCAGATCTTAGCAAAAGCGTATGAAATATGTGACTTGGGCCTGAATCTCTGGTTCCTCCTGCACTTACAGGATTGTTCTGAAGATTAGAGATTAGTGTCTACATGGCCCCATCATAGAAACTCAACAAAAATGGGTGGGCAATTACAGACCATATCCATAGAGCTAAGCCTCCAAAGTGGCATCTCATTAAAATGAAACTCAAAAAGGACCCCAAAAGAACTTTCTCTTAGGCCATTTATCAACTTGTCCATGTGTTGACTAAACTGCAATACGTGTCTCAAGGTATTACTGATCTTAAGCCCCTACTGTTTAGGACTGGTGTCAGAACTGATTATGAAGGTAAAGAGTAGGCATTTCATGTGAGAAGCAGAGACTGGGTAGTGCATTGAAGAGGCATCTGCCATATGTATGACTGCCTTTTAGTTCCTTTCCCTCCAGAAAATGATGCATATTATTGAGATAACATGATTAAAGATAATTTTACTAGTGGGAAAACCATAACTTTTAATATTTAGCTAATGACTATGCTAGTGATTTCCATGCAGGCTATGAGTTAATGATTGATTGAGATGACTATTGTAATAGTACTGGGGGTAGCCCATGGAGGGCCTCACCCTCCCTGGGGGAATGAGGAGATAACGGGGGGGGGGGGGATTGGGGGGAGGGCACGGGAAGAGGGGAGGGAATGGGAGAGGGACCTGGAACTGACTTGTGAAGCAACCTTGTTTCTTACCTAAATTTAAACTGGAAAATAAAATATAAAAAAAAAATAGTACTGGGGGTAGAGTTTCATAGAGAGGTGATTTAGCAAGATATCTACAGAATCTATAATGCATAAGGACAAAGATGAGGAATAGTTGTACAATGGAAAGAAACCAGCTTTGTGGTCACTTTCTGTTTCAGTGTCCTAAGGAATAACTTTACATAAGCCGGCCTTAAGTGTGGTAGATCAGAAATGGCAGAAAGGTTGACACACATGGGGATCACAGCTGTCAACTAATTTATACTAAGTGGTACTGTCCTGTACCCAGTTTAAGTTACATCTCAAGACATCACCTCATCATTCTAGCAGATGAACCTTGTTCTGTCTTATGAAAGAAAATTCACACTGGCAATTGAGAATGGTATAGCTGGCCAGGGCACAGTCTTGGAATTGGAGCCAGGCTCTGTAATGACTTCACAGACAGAAATACCAAATAATGTGGAACATTTGTTTTATCACACATAGGGAGAGTGGTTAGACATAGGATTCTTCCATTGATTAGCTCATAGTCCTTCTTCAAAACCCATTAGCTGTGGGAACCTGCATAAGACCAAGCCATGTGCCCTGAAGGTGGGCGTCTGTTGGGAGGACTGGGCAGTCTATGGGGCCTCTGGTAGTGGATCAGTATTTATCCCTAGTGTACAAATGGACTTTGGGAGCCCACTTCCCATGAATGCATACTCTCTCAGCCTAGATACATGGGGGAGGGCCTAGGTCCTGCCCCAAATGATGTGACAGACTTTGATGATTCCCCCATAGGAGACCTCACCCTCCCTGAGGAGTGGATGGGGATGGGATGGGGGTTGGTGAGGGAAATGGGAGGATGGGAGGGAGAGGGAACTGGGATTGCTATGTAAAATGAGGTTGTTTCTAATTTAAATAAAAATATTAACAAAAAAACACTATCTGGCAACCAATCCTTCACCACATGATTATTCATAGTTCAGGGCATACTTCAGATTTAAAGAATAACAGGAGGCTCATGTCATGGAATGGTCAATATTATCGTTAATTTGCAAAAAAATAAGACGGAGGGCCAAAGGGACAAATGACTTGGTCAGCATCATGTATCTGCGGCTGAAATCTGTGTTCAAAGCTCCAACTTCTTGCTTTTCCAGCAAATAGTCAATTAACACGAACCCATTGATGCCACGTTTAATGGATAACCCCTTAAAACATGGTATTCTGCTGAACAGCATAAGTTAAAACCAAAATATTAAATGAATTTTTACTGATTGGTTAAATGTGGTTTCCCTTTAAAGGTAATTTCTTTTAAATAAAAAAATGACCATGTTTTTATTTTTATGTGTTTGTATCTGCGTGGGTATATGACATGCAGGAGCCCACGGAGGCCAGAACAGACCACCCAATCCCGTGAAGATGAAGTTGCAGGCAGATTCTGTGGGTGCCGGGTCTTCTGCAAGAGCAGCATGCACTCCTAACCACTCAACCAGCGCTCCCGCTCCAACACACAGTTTCTTAAAGTATGTTCTTTGCGTCCGTCTGCTCTGCCTCACAACATCCTGCAGTGGTAAAGGGGATGGTGCTTGTCACCTGCATTTCTCAGCTGGGGAGCATGCAGGCCAGATGTATTTGTGTCTCTCTTGATCTATGTCATCAATGAGTTTTTACCCATCTCTAACTCCAAACTCGTGGTTTGTGCACTGTTTCTCTGTATTTTCCCCTTATCCAGTAGCTTCTTACTCAGCACTCTTTGGGCTTAACTATTAGTGATTGCCATTCTTACAGTTTCTTCTATTTTTGACTCACATCCTGTTGGTAGTGAGTTACTATGGAGATCTGACATATTATCAGGTTCTCTGTAGGACAGTGACCTGGCATATTTAAAAATGTTCTGGGTTTCTTAGCAACTCGACCAACATTATCTCCCTTTGCTTCCATGATCTTTTGCCTAAGTAAATGAAATTCCTACCCATCATGGGTTAGTTTTGGAGGATGGCAAGAGAGTATTTAGAAGGGAAGTAAAGATTAAACACATCAAATATAGAATCCATTCTAGCAAATGTCTGTCTCCTCTATGTTAAGGCATTTTAAAATACACAGCAATGATGAAATGGAAAATGAAAGGATTTAGAACCTATCAATTTTCAGTTCTGCCGGCTTCTTTGCCATGACAACTGTGAATAACAGTAAGTCCCCCTAAGCCTCAGTTTCCTCATATCTAAAATAAGACTTTATGGACTTACACTTAGTAGACATGATATGAAAATGGTCTGCATGTAACTCATTCCAGAGACAGTAACACTAGTTCTAATTTAAGTATTCTTTGTTGTTGTTGTTGTTAATTCTTTTCTTAGAGACAAATGATGCAGTGAAGGGAAAAGCAGAGGGTGTGGTGGAGAAACTGGAAGTACTAAAGACCTTACTGTCCCACTATGTCTTGTGGGATGAGGGATACTTTATCCAGCTCTTCAGTATAAGGGTATGTGCAGATATTGTGCCAGGAAATTTCCAACCTACAAAAGTGAGTTCTTGATGACTCTAAAATAGAGTAGTACAGTGAGGATGAACAGCATCCAGAAATATTCAAACGTCTTAAAAGACTATGAGGAACCTTTGAGGGCTTATTGTTCACTCCAAATATACCTTCATCTCATTCTACTGCAGGCCACAGACACAAAATAGAAATAAAATGCTCATACCTTTGAACACAAATGTCTACTTCCAACATCTACCCCAGCACCCAGTTGGCCCAGTTTTCTTGTCTATGTGATGGACATATTAAGAAAAATTAACTCAGAGTGCTGAAAAATGCACAGCACAGTATCAACAACACATCAGGTACCAAAAAAAATATTACAGGCATTGATCGTTAAACATAGCTCATTTCCTGCCTATTTGACTTGACACAGGATTTCTGTCTCGTCTAGACATTCCTTTGGCTTTGCCCCTGTGGTAACATTATTCAAGATTTGACTCTTAAGCATCTCTCTGGAGAACACTTTCCTGATATTACTTTCACTTTCTCTAGAGGGATTTGCCTCCTTAATTTCCTTGTGTAGATGTGCATACATATATCATGTCTTGTACATTTGTATTATATATTGCACAACAATAAGATGATCACATTACATTCTAGTCTTCATTGTTTTTATAGTTGTCCACTTGAGCTTCATGAAGGAAAAGAATAACTCATAACTTTGTCTTTCTGTCTATCTGTCTGCCTCCCTCCCTTCCTCCCTCCCTTTCTCCCTTCCTCCCCACCCCCCACCCCGTGTGTACCAGACCATTTGCAGATAGGCAGAAGGAGGAAGGGAAATTATAAAGAGTGACCATTTGAACTGAGGGGATTACACAAGCAAGGAGTTAGGACAGAGATTAGGCAGCTAGTTCAGATGATACTGAAAAGGGGAGGTCAGGAATCAAGTAATTCTGTGGTTCAAGTAATGAACCAAATCGATTTTAACAATTTCCTAGAAGGACTCACTCAACAGTCAAGTCTATCTTTAAAAGACCCTAAGTTAAGAGAGCATAGGACAAAGGTGCTGTAGTAAATGATACCTGCCTGCCATGACCCTCCAGTTCAACATGCACTTAGAGCTGGAAAACCAACTAGTCTTGAAATATCCTGTGGCTTTGTAGCATTTGAAAGGGACATTCTAGTGCACTGTACTTGCCCCTCTTGAGGCTTTCATTTGTTTTCAGAAAAACCTTTTAGTTAGACGTCTGGAAGGATGGACCTTTAGCTGGATGGGGTTTGGTGTTGAATTCATTTAGGAAAGAGGGTCAAGATGAAATATTCCTTGAATTTTTTCCCAGAATGTGCAGAATGTGCTGTTGGGCAGTGGGGATTATCTCATCAGCTAGTCAGGATCAATAGAGTTATCTGGTCCATTAAGCTTGGAGAATTTGCTCATCTCTCAGATGTGTGTGGTGGCACTACCATGTGGAAGACTAGAATCATTCCACTCAAAGTAAACTTCATTAACTTAGAACAAGTTCATTTTCCTCCCAAAGTTAAGCTGTCACATAATCATGTTTTGTCTTTTCCTCTTAGGGATTGGTTGCTGACGTCCACTCAGATGTCTCTGCTCTAGAGAATTCATCATGGAGAATGTCAAGAGAACCCATCTGTGTATTTCCAACATTTGATCCACACACATTATAAATCCTTTTAGCTTGAGAGTTACCTTCATTACATCGTGTCATTCATTTCTAGAGCAACAATAAGAGGAAGGATAATTGTTTCCATTTTACAGCTTAGGAAATGGGCACCCTAAGTGGTTCAGACAACTGAAAATAAATGGATAAAACCAAGTGATTAGATGTGTGAGTCACATTGTGTGAGGGTTGTCATTAGTCAGAGGCTTTCCAAGTCTTCACATATCTCTGATTCACTGTATCTTGAGTGTTTCCTTTGAACCCTGTACTTTACTTGAAACTCCAGAGGGATTAGTAGGACAGAAATCTCCAACCTCACAAAACACAGAGTGGTTACAACAGACCACTACCAATCGAAATTTTATCTGCTATAATTAAAGCAAGTTCTGAGAACTTATAGGAACTAAGGGGAACAAGGCTTCTTTGTGTCTTAATTTAAATTAGTTTAATGGGCCTGCATCCAGTATAGGCAAGTAATTTCAGTGCAGGCCTTGATGATCAGGCCTCCTTGTGCAAAGGGAAATCTGTGCCTGGGTACCAGTCTCAGTAAGGAGCTCTTGACACTGCACCTTTGCCCCCATCCTGTGCACAGAGGACAATCATATCTTTGACATTGTATCATCTTCAACGATAAGACTCAAGGTAGGTGCCGTTAGGAGTAGAAGTTCATGAATGATGCTTCATGAGCTATCGTTGAAGGATCTTTAAGCAAAGGATTGAGAGAATGTAAGTGGAGGGAGGGAAGAATGTGGGTGAATCCTAAGAATGAAGGGCTGTGTGGCACTTCCAAAGTCAGAGCAGGGAAGTAGGACATTGCCGAGGAAGGGTAACAAAGAAAGCCAAAGATGGATTCAAGAAACGAGTTAAACAAATGGCAGTGAAATACGTAGGAATGAACCCATCCCTGCCTCTCCAGCAAGAGGTACGGTGCTAGGTGAGAGATCAGTACTCAACAGCACATGTTGTATAATATTGGAAGGGACTGGGAACCACATTAACTACTCTTGTTGATCTCATATATGCTTTCCAAGTATCCTTTGTGATACTTTACAGTAGTATTAAACATAATCCAACTATTAATGCATTTGTGATGCCTGCAGCTTGATAGACAGATGTAACACTTTTGCGACACGATGTGGTGATTGAAGATTAGAAGGCAAAGGCAGTAAAGAGAGCTGTCCAAGGCAGTAACTACATGACTTCATCCCAGGATGTGCAGCACTATAGCCGTGTAAAGGAGGAGCAGGTCTCTCCCCAGCATTTCTTGTGCAAACTTAAGTAAGCATTCCTTTTGGCAAGAGGACTAGGCAAGAACAAATACTCCCTCAGCATCCGATTAGGTGGAGATGCCCTTGTGGCTGGGCTACTATAGCTAGAACAGGCTGCATTTCAGCATCGAGTTGAGACCAGTCAGCCAAGGAGTCCCAAGAACCCATGTATTTACCCAGCCATGGTAGACTGAAAGGAGATGGGAGTTTCAGAGAGTGAGAACAGCTGAGGTCAAATTGCCCAGTCTGAAAAGGAACAAAGGAACTTAGGAGCCAGAGAAGCTTTGGTGTGGCAGGAGAATCTTTCAAATGTGGAGACCCACATCCATGTAAACAGATTTCCCAATGTGATTTTTTTATCATTTTTATTTTAATTTTAAATAGCTTGTTTTACACATCAATCCCAGTTCCCTCTCCCTCCCCTCCTCCCGCACTCCCCTTCCCCCTCCTCCCACCCTATTGCTAAATCCTTCCACATAGGGGATATCTAGAGTCTGTCATTTTACTCTGGGTAGGGTCCAGGCACTCCCCTAAGAGTCCAGGCTGACAGAGCATCCCTCATTGTGCTATAGGCACACGATGACTGTTTGTATACCAGGGATAGACACTGATCCACAGCTCAGGGCCCCATAGGTTGCCCAGGCCTTCTCGCTGACACTCACATTTGGGGGGTCCAGATCAGTCCCATGCTGGCCTCCCCACTGTCGGTCTGGGGTCCAAGAGCTCTCCCCTGTTCAGATCAGCTGTCTCTGCTGGTTTTGCCAGCCCATTCTTTGCCAATTTGCTCATCACTCCTCTCTCTCTGTCACTGGGTTCCTTGGGTTCAGTTCAGTGATTGTGTGTTTGCCTCTGCTTCCATCAGTCACAGGATGAAGGCTCCCGGATGGTTATAGACATCAAGTTCATTATCAGGAATGGGCATTCGAGGTGGTCTCTCCACTATTGCTTAGCTTGCCAATTGGTGTTATCCCTTTAGATCACTCGAGGTCGCTCTGATGCCTTATCTGTATTCGATCCTATGATTCCCTCTTCCCCCTATTCTACCCCCACCCCTCAACTTCCTGTTCCCCCATGACCAACTCTCTTCCTCTTCACCCCCTCTCTTCTTCTCAGTTCCCACTCCCCCCCACCCCTCGCCGTGTTCCCCATCCATTCAGGGGATCTTGTCTCCATCCTCTTCTCTTGGGTACTATGCATATATGCATATCTTTTAGGTTCTTTCCTGTTTCCCAGACTCTCTTTCAGTGGAAGTGCAGACTGGCACTATCCTGATCCATGTCTAAAATCCATATATGAGTGAGTACATACCATGTTTGTCTTTTTGCGACTGGGTTACCTCACTCAGGATGGTTTCTTCCAGTGCTATCCATTTCCCTGCGAATTTCAAGATTCCATTGTTTTTTTTTTTTTTGCTGAGTAATACTCCATTGTGTAAATGTACCACATTTTCTCTATCCACTCTTCAGTTGAGGGGCATCTAGGTTGCTTCCAGGTTCTGGCTATTACAAATAATGCTGCTATGAACATAGTGGAGCAGATGCCCTTGTTGTATGAACTTGCCTCATTTGGATATATGCCTAAGAGTGGAATTGCTGGGTCTAGTGGTAGATTAATTCCCATTTTCCTGAGGACTCTCCATACTGATTTCCAAAGAGGCTGTATGAGTTGGCACTCTCACCAGCAGTGGAGGAGTGTTCCCCTGTCTCCACATCCTCTCCAGCATAAATTGTCTTCTGTGTTTTTGATTTTAGCCATTCTGACAGGAGTGAGATGGTATCTCAGAGTTGTTTTGATTTGCATTTCCCTGATGGCTCAGGATGTGGAGCACTTTCTCAAGTGTGTCTCAGCCATTTTAGACTCCTCTATTGAGAATTCTCTATTTAGCTCTGTACCCTACCTTTTAATTGGATCCTTTGGTGTTTTGGAGACTTGTTTCTTGAGTTCTTTGTAAATTTTGGAGATTAGCCCTCTGTCAGATGTAGGGTTAGTGAATATCTTTTCCCATTCTGTGGCCTGCCTTTTTGTCTTTTTGACTGTGTCCTTTGCCTTACAGAAGCTTTTTAGTTTCAGAAGGTCCCATTTGTTAATTGTCGATCTCAGTGCCTGTGCCACTGGTGTTATGTTTAGGAAGTGGTGTCCTGTACCAACTCGTTGAAGAGTATCTCCCACTTTCTCTTCTAAAAGTTTCAGTGTGGCTGGATTTATATTGAGATCTTTGACCCATTTGGACTTAAGTTTTGTACAAGGCGATAAACATGGATCTATCTGCAGTCTTCTGCATACCAGTACCCAGTTATGCCAGCACCATTTGTTGAAGATGCTTTCTTTTTTCCATTGTACAGTTTAGCTTCTTTGTCAAAAATCAAGTGTTCATAGGTGTGTGGGTTAAAATTAGAGCTTTCAATTCGGTTCCATTGGTCTACCTGCCTATTTTTGTGCCAATACCAAGCTGTTTTCAGGACTATAGCTCTATAATAGAGCTTGAAGTCAGGTATGGTGATGCCTCCTGAAGTTCCTTTATTGTATAGGGATGTTTTAGCTATCCTGGGCCTTTTGTTTTTCCATATAAAGTTTATTAATGTTCTTTCCAGGTCCTTGAAGAATTGTGATGTAATTTTGATAGGGATTGCATTGAATCTGTAGACTGCTTTTGGCAAGATTGCCATTTTTATTATGTTGATCCTACCAATCCAAGAGCATGGGAGATCTTTCCATTTTCTGGTATCTTCTTTGATTTCTTTCTTTAAAGACACAAAGTTCTTGATATACAGGTCTTTAATTTCCTTGGTTAACATTATCCCTAGATATTTGATGCTGTTTTTGGCTATTGTAAAGGGTGATGTTTCTCTGATTTCTTTCTCAGTCACTTCATCATCTGTATATAATAGGGCCACTGATTTTTTTGAGTTTACCTTGTATCCTGCCACTTTTCTGAAGGTGTTTATCAGCTCTAGGAGTAACCTTGCGGAGTTTTTTGGGTCACTTATGTAAACTATCATATCATCTGCAAATAGTGAAAGTTTGACTTCTTCTTTTCCTATTTGTATCCCCTTTATCTCCTTTTGTTGTCTTATTGCTGTAGCTAGAACTTCAAGTACAATATTGAAGAGATATGGAAAGAGTGGACAGCCTTGTCTTGTTCCTGATTTTAGAGGAATTGCTTTGAGTTTCTCTCCATTTAGTTTGATGTTAGCTGTTGGTTCACTGTATATTGGTTTTATTATATTCAGGTACATTCCTGTTATCCCTGATCTCTCTAGGAACTTTATCATGAAGGGGTGGTGGATTTTGTCAAAGGCTTTTTCAGCATCTAGTGAGATGATCATGTGGTTTTTCTTTCGCAGATTGTTAATATGGTGGATTACATTGATAGATTTTCTAATGTTGAACCATCCCTGCATTCCTGGGATGAAGCCTACTTGATCATGGTGGATGATTTTTCTGATGTGTTCTTGAATCCGGTTTGCGAGTATTTTATTGAGTATTTTTGCATCAATGTTCATGAGGGAAATTGGTCTATAGTTCTCTTTCTTAGTTGTGTCTTTGTGTGGCTTGGGTATCAAGGTAATTGTAGCCTCGTAGAAAGAGTGAGCCTCCTGCTTCTATTGTGTGGAATACTTTGAGGAGTCTTGGAATTAGCTCTTCTTTGAATTTCTGGTAGAATTCTGCACTGAAGCCATCTGGGCCTGGGCTTTTTTTATTTGGGAGACTTTTGATGACTGCTTCTATTAGGGGTTATAGGTCTGTTTAGATTGTTTATCTGTTCTTGATTTAGTTTTGGCAAGTGATATCTATCCAGGAAATTGTCCATTTCCTTTAAATTTTCAAATTTTGTGGAGTACAGGTTTTCAAAGTA